CCCGGGGGGCAGCGCTACGGCCCCTACCTGGCAGCACTCCAGCTGCTCTGCCCCCCGCTTCCCCGATTCAGCCGCTGGTCAGTTTTAGCAGCTGCTGAATCGGGGAAGCTGGGGGCAGAGCAGCTCCAATGGTCCGGCTACCCGGAGCACTTCTGGGTTCCTGATGGTGCCGGACCATCAGATGCCAGACCATCGGACTTTTACTGTACTATAGACAGACCAATTAAGGCAATTCTTTTCAGGGATATCATCTCTGGCAGTGGCCAATATAAATGCATAAACCCCCATTGGTACTGATTTGAGAAACTGTAGGGATTAATTATTTTAATAATAGGTGTATAATGATTATACATATTGGGTCATTGCTAGGAGTACTCCAGAGACAAAGGTTTAACCTGAGTACCAGTTTTTTTCTTTTGCTGTCTTTTTAATTGTAAATATTAAGTTTGATTCTGCCTATGACTAGCCACAAACTAGTGAAATATTACATTTTTGTTTACTTGCCACTGGTGAATAATATGGTCTGAAACTGAAAGATTGACTCAAACCAATCTGATCAGTATACTTTAGTTACTCTGCTGTCCTCTGGTGTTTCAAGGTAATATCTATTTAGCATAACTCAAGAGGAGGTCATCTTGTAAAATAAACTGTACATTAATATTTTGTTTGGTTAAAAGTAATTACATGTTTATCAAATGGAGATGCAGAGCTTTGTATTTATTTAGGAAAATAGAACTTTGAGAGAGTAAATTTTGGACTAGTCTAGCCCATTGTAAATAAAGTTTTACTGCCAGGTTGTTTCCTATTTGTCCTTCTTTGGGTATGATGTCTTCTAAGGCAATGGTTTTCAACCTTTTTTTAATTTATTGGCCTATAACAGATTTCAAATGGAGGTGCGGACTCCTTTGGAAATCTTAAACATAGTCTGTGGACCCCAACTTAAAAACCACTTTTCTATGATAATGACAAGCTTTTGTGGACCCCTTAGATGAAGTCTGTGGATTCCCAGGAGTCCATGGACCACAGGTTGAAAACTGCTGTGAGAGTTGTTTTCTAATTCAGGGTATCTCAGCTCATGCATTAGCTCACCAGATTGTTTTAAAAGGCCACATAGTAGTTCCTGCAGCCTGTCCCATGCAGCAGGCAGGACTTGGTTCTCCAGTCTGGGTATTGTAACCTGTAGGGTTGAAGTGCCACTCAGGTTTAGCGCAACTGCACCTCTGTCATGATGATTGGGGACTGCTTGGGCCAAATTTGAATGAATGATATTGTGAGCCCATGCACCAGGTCACAAAACCACTTCCACAAATTTGGCCCAGCTGATCTCCTGTTAATAGCATGGAGCCAAACCTAAATAATTCAAGTTTTTTTTCCCCCCACGGGACAAAATAAAGGTTGCACCAAAATCTGACATTTCATACCTTTTGAATATTTTACTCTGAATCCATAAATCTGACATTTCATACCTTTCGAATATTTTACTCTGAAGCCTAAAATAGATTAGGGTTTAGTATGTAATTTTATTATGAAAGCCAGATTCTATTCATTCTATTCATCTCAAAAACTCAATATATGATTTTTCCAGATAAGCAGTCTTGCTCTCATACATCAATATACATATAACTCTCCAAATATAGTCAGTAAAGCTAGTTGTGCTTCAGGTACAGGAGGAGGAGAGACAGTCAAATGATATTTTCATATATAGCACTCAGATATTATGGTTCTTAGAACCATACAAACACTTGTATAGATGGAAATGCAATGTATACTATGTATCTGAGACAGAAGTCTGATGTGCTATTTTATACTTTCAAGCTTTGGGCCCCTTGAAGCAGAAAATGTGCAAGAATGGGGGCCAAGTCCTTTGCAAATCTTGCTCCTCTGAAAAGGCTCAGCACAAGCAGCATCAGAAATTGAGCAGGTCCAGCTTGACAGACAGACCTATAGTCAAGATATCTAGAAGATGTACTGATTTCAGTTTCTCCTTCATAAGTTTTCCATCATTAATCTTTCTTTTTTTCAGTTGCTCTGTAACATCTAGCAACCAAGTATCTTTTACCAAGTATATTTTCTTGTTTTGATCATACAAAACACCTTTTTAAGACCATGATCTAATTATTGTGTCCCATAATGCAGGAGGTTCTGTGTGCACGTGCCTAAGACTGCAAGGCTATTAAGAAATTACAGATTGTTGGGTTTCTTTTAAACTCTGTTACTTTGAAACTAACGTACTTGGTAGTGTGGATGCTCTGCTTGTTATTTCAAAATAAAGGAGTTATTTCAAATTAACTACTTAGTGTGTAGATCCAGGGCTACTATTTACTGCTCTTAACTTTAAAAACATCCTCCAGGGGTCACTATTTTACCATATTATTTTTACTTAGTTTTATATTAATAACTACTATAGTTAGGGATGTTTCTTTATATTGTTACGGTATAATATATACAGAACCTAACATAAAAATTCTCTTTGCAATAATTACTCTTGAATTCGGTTTTTTAAATGAATGTGTTATAAGCCTTTTTTGCTTTAAAATGTTTTCTAGTTGAAAAATATGACTTACTCTTATTTTATTATTTTTGTTATTTTTAGTATTATCCCATAGAAGAAGTGCTTGCTGCTGAATATTTACTTGAAGAATTTAGGCCTGATTTAATAGAGATGGTGCTGGATAAATTGAGGCCACAAAATGTTAGGTAAGTAAAGTTTAAAATATAACTTAATATTCTGTGATGAGAGAGAATTACTGTAACCGTAATAAAAAACATTATGGTGCCTACTACCATTTGTAATGTAAAAATCATTACAGGAGAGCCTGGTAGCATTACTGTTATAAATGTCCCCATTGCAAGATTCTGTTTACAGTCACTTATAATGTTGTGATACTTAAACTATTTGGACTATAATTTTCCATGTTTGATGGTTATCTCAGTCTGATTTTTTTTTTTTTTTTTAATTCAACTAAAATTATTCAGACTTTTCCAGGATCAAGGCTAGTGAAAAACATTGCCTTGCCCAAGTAAAAATAAAGATCTTTTTTTTTTTAAATGTTTAGGCTACTCTGTGCTCTTGATCAGGCATTTGAATTTTGATAGGAGAGTGGCCTTTGATTTAAGGATGAATTTTCTGCAGTTCTCATGAAAACTCAGCAACATTTTTCTGAGTTATGAGCTTTTGAATAATCTTGGTTTGAATATGCTCAATAGAGACTTCTTCAAATTTAGCAGATTAAAATCTCCAAAGATTCCATTCTCGCTAAACATGCCACAGCCCCTCACAGAGCCAGTGTATGACTGGACTGCTCATGTGCCACCCACACAGAATAACTAAGCATGCCCAGCTTTCCCTGTAATTTGCTGTTTTACCTACCACTTACAGCACCGTTTCATATTTCTCAATAACGCTTCTGGGAAAATGTATAAGCAATGCAACTATCTCCTCCTTGTTTCTTTGTCAGATTCCTTTCTTACTATTTTTATTTGCATTACTACAGCACCTACGATCCTTTCTTCTTGACTATATTGTGCTAGATGTACTTAAAACACAGAACAAAAATATAGTCTGTGTCCTCAAGGAGCTTATAATCCAAGGCTACATCTACACAGCTTCCCTCTTCCGCAAAAGCCTATGCAAATGAAGTGTGGATTAGCATATTGCCGCACTTCATTTGCATAAATAATTAGGAGCCGTTTTTGTACAAGAGCCATTCTTCCTGAAAAAATGAGGAAGAACGGCTGTTGTGCAAGAGGGGGCTTTTTGTGCAAAAAGGCGCTGTGTAGACGGTGCCTTTTTTTGGAAAAAAACCTCTTGTGCAAAACCAGCTCCTAATTACTTATGCAAATGAAGTGCGGCAATATGCTACGTGAGTCAACAGTGTGACGCTGTTGCAAAAAAAGGTAAACGTGATTCTGGGATGTGTTAACAGTATTGTGAGCAAGACACGAGAAGTCATTCTTCCGTTCTGCTGTGTACTTATCAGACCTCAATTAGAGTATTGTGTCCAGAGAAGAACAAGAAAAATGATTAAAGGTCTAGAAATTATGACCTATGAGGGAAGATTGAAAGAATTGGGCTTGTTTAATTTAAAAAAGAGAAGACTCAGAGGGGATATTAAAGTGATTTTCAAATCATGGGTCTTATAAGGAGGAGAGAGAAAAATTGTTCTCCTTGGCCTCTGATGACAGGACTAAGATGCAATGGGCTTAAATTGCCACAAGGAAGGTTTAGATTGGATGTTAGGGAAAAGTTCCTACCTGTCAAGGTGGTTAAACACTGGAATAAATGGCCTAGATGTTATGCTTATAAGAAGCACATGGGATCTTTTTCAGGGGATTAGCAATGCTTTATATGCTTTATAAAGATGCACGCACACACGTACATCCTGCAGATGGTTCATAGTTACCAGTCCATGGTGGCTCAAGTAAGTCTTACTGGCCAGGCAAGGCTGATTGAGTGAAGAATCGGGGGTTCCACTGAGACGCCTCTGAGGCTTGGCTTGCAGGACTGAACCCAGAGTCCCATAGCAAGAGCTTCCCTTCTTATACATGTAAGTTCCCACTTGGATCTATGGATATTGCAGTGTCATGTTGCCATCATCCACCCTTAGGAGGTGTTAATCTGTTTTCCAGATTTACCCTTTGATGAGGATTGTCAGGCTGCCCGTCGTTTTTTCTTACTCTTTGGAGGGTCTCTGCCTGTCTCCAGGGTTCATTAATGCTGCTAATTTAATTCAGCCTCAAGACACAATGCATGTTTCCTTGTTATCTTCAAAGTTTCCACTTCCTGATCACGTGGGCAACTATGATGGCTTTCACTCACACCCACCCACCACTCACACCAAACAATTGTACAGAATTTCAGAAAAGATGAATAATTACTAGAAGACACAATTTAGTTGGTGATGAAGACAAGAGGTATATCTTAATGCTGATAGGGAGCAAGGCCTTATAGCACTGGTTCTCAACTCGTTTCAGTCCATGGACCACCAGGCCATTCAAAAAATGTTCGTGGACCAACTTCTTTTTGATACATGATAAAAATGAGCAGACAACAAACATTTTGGTTGGAAATTTATTTCTTACTAGCAGATTAGTGGATTCTCTTCTCACTGACAAGCTTTTCAATGTTTGGAGTGGTACTTGATAATGCACAATGAATATCGCTTTCCACTGCGAGCCAATTTCTCTGTTTGAACTTAATGTGTGACAAACACAAAAATCCAGTCTCTCACATATAAGTTGATGCAAATGGCAAAAGAAATCTGACTGTGTGCTGACAGATTTGGGTAACTCCCGGTCATGCTGGTCCAAAATTTCTCTATGGTAGACTGCTAGTACATGTCTTGAGCCGCAAAATCATTTTTCAGATCCAAGAATTCCTCCTGCAGATCCTCTAGAACACTATTAACATCTGTTGTAAATGGATTCCTGGTGAAAGATAATCCATCCCTTTTTATGTCCACCTCCGGAAAGTATCATTGGAATTCGTCTCGTAGCGTCTGTAAATGATCGAGAATTTGCGTCCGAATGGCTTCCTTTTTCCCCAAGCATGGCATCCACATATGGAAATTGAACCAAATTATTGCCTTCGACTCTTACGATCCAGAATTCCAATTTGTTAAGAAAAGCCTTGATGATGCTTTGGTGAGAGAATTGATTTGCACCTTTCCCTTGCTGCTGAAGATTCAGTTTGTTCAAGATTCCAAAAATATCGACAAGATACGCAAGTTCTAAATTTGACTGCGTCAGCACATTTCGGAATTCCTCTTTCCCTTGAGCCTGGGGAAATAAATCCAACTCCTCTCTCAATTGAAAAACTCTGCTGAGTACGTTCCCTGCTGACAACCTCCGAGAGAGAAATCCAACTCCTCTCTCAATTGAAAAACTCTGAGTGTGTTCCCTGCTGACAACCACCGTACAGAAGTGTAGAACAGCAACACATCAAAGTCGGAACTCATGTCCAGGCAAAATCTTTTGAACAGCCTGGTGTTCAGAGCCAATGATTTGATGTGATTCACCACTTTCACCAAGCCTTTGAAAATGGCGTTCAGTTGATGAGGCAATGTTTTTGACGCCAAAGCTTCCCTATGAATGAAGCAATGAACTCCGGTTACCATTGGAGCTCGCTGTTTCACCAGTGTTTGGAAGCCCGATCTTGAGCCCAGCATGGCAGGTGCACCATCAGTGGTGACACCCACAAGATTTACCCAATCCAGACCATGTTGCGGTTGCGTCTTAGGTGATGCTATGGATGACATGCCGCATGCTTGTGAACATGGCGTAAAACAGCCTAACGGCAGTGCCTGCTCACGCCGTTTGACATTGGACAATATTCTTGTGGACCACCAAAAAAGTCTCCATTGACCACCAACTGAGAACCACAGCCTTATAGTAACATTATTTAATCATGAGAGACAGAGCGAGAAATAGAAGCAGATAGATCTTATAAGCAAGTCGTTATACATCAAATCATTATACATCATAGCTACGTCTACACTGGCCCCTTCTTCGGAATAGCCATGCTAATTTAGAACTTTGGAATAGGGAAATGCGCGGGGGATTTAAATATCCCCCGCGGGATTTAAATAAACATGGCCGCCACTTTTTTTCCGGCTTGGGGAAAAGCCGGAAAAGAGCGTCCAGACTGGTGCGATCCTCCGGAATAAAGCCCTATTCCGGAGGATCTCTTATTCCTACTTTCAAGATCCTCCAGAATAGGGCTTTATTCCAGAGGATCGCGCCAGTCTGGACGCTCTTTTCTGGCTTTTCCCCAAGCCGGAAAAAAAGCGGCGGCCATGTTTATTTAAATCCCGCAGGGGATATTTAAATCCCCCGCGCATTTCCCTATTCCAAAGTTCTAAATTAGCATGACTATTCCAAAGAAGGGGCCAGTGTAGACACAGCCCTTGTGTATAGTCTTATAGCCTAATATAATATATAGATTCCTACTGTTTTCTACATCAGATGATGCCCTCACCCCCCAATTAGAGATGTAAAATCCCATATAATTGGTTAATCAGTTAAATGGGAAGTAAGCTAGGCTGGAGTTGCCTGCACATGCCACTGCCCCACAGCTGGGCTGGAGCAACTCATCACCGTGACAGGTAGCGGCTGCTCTAGCCCAGCTGGAGCAACCCCTGCCTGTGATTCCCCTCTCCCCTGCCACATACAGAGACTGCTCAGGACATCCCAGATTAGCCCCTACTTATAGCCTCCCCTCCCTGACCGCTGCAGACTGGGACTGCTCCAGCCCCCACTGGTTAACTGGAACGGATAAGCATCATCCATTAAGAATGATGCTTGCTGGTTAACAGGTTAAGCTTTCACTTCCCTGCCCCAATGTACCTCTATTACAAGGCACAGACTTTTACACAAATTTCTGAATTTTTACTTTTAGCATTAGTGAAATCCATATGTCTCCAAACTACTTGCATGGCATCCCTCCATGCCTGCTAAAAATATATTCACATAATCACTAGTTAGTAGAATAATGAAATGTAGATGCATGCACAGTTAAGAACCACTAGCATTCCATACGTTAAACTTTTCTACTGCATTTTAAATTCCATAAATATTTGGAAAGAAATGCACCCATTATTATTTAAGACTGATACTCATCATATCTAAATGCCTGATCAGTACCCAGTTGTGTGGTACAATCACATGAGAGAGTATCCGTAGCTTGAAGAGCTCCTCGTAACCTAATAGAATTCCAAAGCACGTGTGTTAGTTGTAGATGTTTAGTGTGTATTTTAACTGTCTGCACAAAATTTGAAATTTTGTTGATTATTTTGCTAATAACTCAGTTATGAAATGTTGAATTTATGAAGAAGATAATTTGACTTTTCTGGAAGTGCAATAATTGTTTCACAATTCTCATAAAATGTATATATTTTTAATCTACTTCATGATTCCTATTGAGCTTCTTTGTTGACTATACCATTTTGCAGTAAAAACTGTTAGGGTATGTCTACACAGCAATATTATTTCAAAATAATTAAAATAACTTAGTCCACATCTACACAACAGGCAGTTATTTCGACATAATGTCAAAATACTGTCAGGCTGGAGGACTTGTACTCTGACTCCTGTAATCCTATTGTACGAGGAGTAAAGGAAGTCGGAAGAAGAGTGTTCTATTGTGAAATAAGTGCTGTGTAGCCGCTCCCAATTTCAAAATAAGCTATTTTGAAATAAGCTACGCAATTGACGCAGTTCAATTTGTGTAGCTTATTTCGAGTTAAGCCCTGCAGTGTAGCGCACTCTTGGAGAATTCAAGGTTTTGTTGGTGCCTACTGTATAGACTGCTGAAAACATCTAAGTTTATAGTTAGTTATTTGCATTGTTTCTCATTTTTATTCTAGTTTTCTCTTTCTTGGCTATGTCTCTTTTAGTCTTCCGATAGCACTTTCTATTTTAATCTCTGTAGATAGTCAATCACAGTAAAGAGATCCATTGCTAACCAATAAACAGCAATTCATGTGGAAGTTTGCAAACAGAGTTCATTATGCAGGAATGGGACCTAAATCTGTGTCTTACAAACTAGGTCATAGATAAAATTTGTATATTGAAAATCCTATCTTTGTGTAGTCACTACTTTACTATATTTTTCTTAGCACCTACATCAGAGATCAAACAATTAATGAGTCCTATTGCAGATTTTATATAGGATTTCTTAGGATCATTGTTTTAAAATTGCTCTACAAATAATAAAACAAGATGGAAAAACCCAATAAATTAGAAATTATATGCAAGCTTGCACATAACCCCAATCTCTAGAACAGAAGTGGGGAACCTTTTTCAGGTCCGGGGTCACTGACACACAGAAAAATCAGTAAATCCTCGCTGACATGGCCCTTGATTGAGACTTTCCCTGTCTCCCCCCTCCTCTTCTCCCCCTCCCTCTGCATCACCACCAGTGCCTTGGGGGGGCCAGTCTAGTAGAGTTTGTGTGTTCCACTCCCACATTTGGGCAGCAGGAGGGCGGGAGCACCAGCACAGGCTCCCAAAGTTGGGGGAGCCATGAACCTTGGTGGCAGAATCCAGGTAAGCCAGAGGCCGCATGTGGCCCCCGGGCCTGAGGTTCCCCAACTCTGCTCTAGAGCTTTATGTATTATGAACAGTAAAATGATTGTGGCTAAACAAGCACAAATTGAAGTATATGATCGAGGGCTTATGATTGTGTATTTAACTTCAGTGTACTAGTTACATTTGGATACATGCATATGGTTGGCCTAAATAGTCCTTAAAGTTTCATTTGAAGGTGGTATTCATCAGTAGTAGGCACTGTGCATCTTAAATTGCTTCTAGTTCCATGCTGGGGATTACTGTGTTTCAGTGGTGAATGACGTGATCTCTTAGTTATTCTGTATATCTGTTGGTAGAGTACTTTACCTAAGTGTTTTTATTTATCTGTTTTTAGGGTTGCAATAGTTTCTAAATCTTTCGAAGGAAAAACGGATCGAACAGAAGAGTGGTATGGAACACAGTACAAGCAAGAAGCAATTTCTGATGAAGTCATCAAGGCATGTTAAAACAATTAGTAGATTTCCATTTCTGAAATAAAATTTTTGTGTGTAGATTTCATTACCCATTTGTGAAAAGGAGAATTTGCACTTATAATTCATTGCTAATGCAGTTGTAAGGGTCTGTACAGCAGCAATGAATATTAGATCCTCATTTAAAAATTAAGGATTTCTGTCTTGGTTATAAACTAATTTTCTTTCTTCTCTAAAAATGCATGATCCAACATTAAATAATTTTGTTTTTCCAAAAAGGGGTGAATTTTTAAAATGATATAATCATATGTAAGCCAAAAGTAACTTTTATGAATTATAATTGTCCTGGAATTATATAATTATAAAGGAATTTATAATAGAAATTATAAGTTCTGAGGCTGATTCAAAATATGTTTTGTTTTGAATATAGTGTGCAAAATTTGGTGGATTTCTGAAAACCAAACCATAAGAAAAACAAGGGAAGTGAGAAACAGCCCTCCTGAAATAAAATTATCAGTCCACTTTAAAATGAGTTGGTCTTGCAGTATGTTTGAAAGGCCTACTCACACTTTCTCAGACCATCCATCCTAGTCTGGATTGGACAGAAAGAGTATAGAAACGCCTCGCCATATGCAACATACCTAATTAAACAAGTAGAACCGAAGCTGGAAGAATTTACACACCCATACCCACCTGAAATGGTAGAAAGATTCCACCTACCAACACCAGTATATTTTTTCTAATTATCTTTTACTTTCCCATTTCTCTCTCGCAGAAGATTATCTCTTATGGCTGGCCTTCTCCTACTTTCTTCCCCAGTTAGGACATTCTAACAGGGGAAGACATTCTAATTGTGATCTTCCATCTTCTCACTAGTGCATGCGTGCGTACATACAGGATACTAAAACAAAATTACAATTTCTGTTACAGAGCTACAGGATTTAAGTACATACTCATCTACTTGTCAGAAATTTAACTAATAACTAGGGTTGCCAGGTGAGCTTTCTGTTCAGGAAACAAATTGAGAAAATATAACTGTCCTGTATTTTCTAAATACGATTTAATGTAGATTGAGGTAATGTCAAGTATGTCCAGTATTTTTGTTGAAATCTGGCAACCCTACTAATAACCATGCTGTTGTTTATCCAGAAATGGGAAAATGCTGACCTAAATGGGAAATTCAAGCTTCCAATGAAGAATGAGTTTATTCCTACTAACTTTGAAATTTTGCCACTAGAAAAGGATGCACCACAGTACCCTGCTCTTATCAAGGTAAAGATCTATATTGCTTACAACAATTGGAAGTTCTGTCAACCAGCTAGCCTGCTGGAAGATTAGCCTTTATTCCTGGATGAAAGCTGTCAATTAATATAGATTAATCTGTCTGATACATTTTATACATAAGTACAAAAGTTTAACTGTTTTCTTAATAACCTTTTAACTGGCAACAAAAAAGTACTAAATCGGCCATTTCTAGCTGAGCTGTGGACTCTTTCTTCAGATTCTGCTGAAAATGGGTCTGCCAGTAGCTTGACCCCTTTCTTGATCCTTTTGGACGTGTGTGAACTATGGACAAAAATAATATTGAAACTTCTTGATTAGAAGAGTGACTGCCACTAGATTTTTTTTTTTGAGCATTTGTTGGTAAGTCAAAAAGTAGGAAAGGTCATTCTGTTGAAGCTGCACATGAAAAGAGCTTGCATTTGCAAGCAAAGACACCTAACCACTTACCTACCTTTTTGGTAGAAGTGAGCAAATACCCCCTATCATTTTCAGCAATGTTCCATATTTTTGAGTACAGTAAAACCTGTGTTATCCAGCACACTCGGGGATTAGGGCATTCCGGTTATCTAAAAATTCCAGTTATCTGAGGGTCCCATCAACCTAGGAAGAACCAATGAACAATAATAGTAAAACTCAAGTTTTTAATATTGGTAGATTTGTAGTGTGAGGCAGTTGGTCTCACATTTCTATTTTAAGTTAAAGATGATTAGTACTTCTGAAATAAAAATTTAAGCCAAACATGGTAAACCAAGCCAGGCCTGTGCACCTGAAGATGTGACAGTATTGTTGCTGGGGGCAATGCCGGTTAACATTTTCTGGTTAACAGAGTACTGGACAACAAAGCCTTCAATATACCTTAAAATCATTCCTCAGGTTTTCAGAGTCAAGAAGTAGTTTTACTCTCTCAAGAGTGATGAGCTTTGTAGACATATATGTAGGATGGACCTACTGCAACTCAATCCTGTTGCTTCTGAATCACAGAATGGATATGACCTATTTGGCTCACCTGAGAGTTCTCTACAGCTCAGCCAGAGATATGTGTATCCCAGGGGGTACATACAGGTCTTCCTATGAGGTACATCAATTCATCTAGATATTTACCTAGTTTTACAACAGGCTACATAAAAAGCACTAGCAAAGGCTGTACAAACTAAAACTTCATACAATGACTAATTTTTACTGCTCATACTATACTGAAATGTAAATAAAATATCTGTATTTCACTTGATTTATATTTATACAAAATATAAATGTAAATATCAAGTAAGCAATTTTTCTGTAATAATATGCTGTGAGACTTGTATTTTTTTGTCTGATTTTGTAAGCAAATCGTTTTTAAGTGAGATATAACTTGTGGATATGCAAGATAAATCAGACTCCTGGGGTACAGTAGTCAGGAAAGGTTCAGAGCCACTGCTCTATGGTCTCTCCCACACCCTTAGTTTTCCAGAGATATTGAAAGCATATATGCTGGCAGGACACTAAATCTAATAGATCTCTTCAGTCTCTAATTTCTGTGATGCGCAACCTCAGTGAATAATACAATAAATTAATATTTTTATATAAATGATAAGCAGTAAGATATTTTGCCAACAGGCGTTGAGCCCATGGTTGTTGATGATGACGACGAGTAAGATATTGTAATATACGTTAATGTCATTGGAAATTCAAACTAATTTGAATTTCCAGTGAAGAAAACATATCTGTTCAGAACAGCACTCAAATATGTGTTTAAGTTCCAACTCATTGGGATTTAAGCACATAAATATGTGCTGTCTTGAACAGGCGTCATTTAAGTTTGCACTTAAGTGCTTTCCTTAATTGGAGTCATAGAATAGGGACAGACATCAGGTTCAGTGAACAATATTGTTTTGTTTTCAGAGGCCTATCTTCAAAAGAACAAAGGTTAGAAACCTTTTTTAAATTAAAATTTAAATTTTACAGAAACTTGAGAGGCCACAATATACCAAAGGAAAGAACCATTTGGTACAACCTATAGTTAGTCTCAGTGTTTGAAACTTCATTTGCTTTTTAATTCGTCTTGTGGGGTTTTTTGTGTTTTTGTTTTTAAGCAAAATCTTCTAAAACTTCCTTGAACTGGCACAATGGATACAGTCATGGCCATTTTGCTATTATGTTCCTACCAGCAGAGAATTTATAGTGAATTTTGTATAGTAACACAGCTATTACTAGGATGAGAATTTCCATTGCCTTAAAAATGAGTTATGTTAAAAATTCAGCATTACAGTGCAAGTGGGAGGTCATGTATGAGAAGTGAGAGATAAGACTTAATTTTTATATGTTAAAAATGTGTTGAAAAGTAAATGTCTTTTTGTATTAAATTGTATATACATACAGCATTTGTGGTGGTGGCAGCGAAGGAGATTTTCTATGTTATAAATTTAAAAAGCCATGCAAAAATATATTTATTCTTTATCTTTAATGGCCCCACTTGCTCTCTGCTCACTAATCCATCTCTTTTTTTGGACTTCTTCTGGCATTCCAAACCTATGAGCAGTGACTACTGATGTTTAAAGAATGCTCCGTTCCCAGAAAATCAGCCTGTCATAACAGCGTTACCTCTTTTACCATATGGAAATTTTTTTTTAAAATGGTGGGGAGAGAAATGATAGCTAGGGTTAAAATATGAAGATTCTCTGTTTTTGTCAGTTTGTTTGCATTCCCTTTGGATTTTTTTTCCTCTACTGGGAATATTTTAAAATAAAACTTTAGAGGACTGTCTTTTTTAATCACTATTTTTTCCTGTTTTTAAATGGAGATTTTTGGTTTCAGTATTGTTATAACGTAATGTAATATGTGTTAATTTTATTTAAAGACAGTTGATTAAGAAATAATAAACTTAGCCTGAAACATAGGGGTGAGACTGTCTGCAGCTCCAGTGCTGGTGGTGAAGGAAGCAGGACTGCTCTGGTGACTTTAAGTCATCTTTGTGTTATAATCCTCTACTTCTCTTTGGAGTGAGTTACAAAAGCATCCTTGGGCTGATGTGTTAACCACACACTATCCATAATCTTCACAGTTCTGCATGATTCAGTTTTGCGTGATTCAGCCCTGTACATCTCTACATTAAACTTTCAAGAGTTCTCATATGGTAGCGTTTTGGTTATCTTCCATAGTTCCTGTTCCAGGGGAATTTTCCCTCATCTGGAAATGGAGTATTTACGGCTCCTTTATGCCTCTCTAGCCCTTTTATGTGGTATAAAGGAGCCATAGTGAGGTGGTTGTGTATACCAGTTATGTATAGAAGCAGTTAAGGAAAAAATTTAAACTGAGAGTGGAAATGCTAAAATGCAGTTTGTAAAATAGCAGAATATAAAATGGAACTTTTTTTCCCTTGATACAGGACACTGCCATGAGCAAACTATGGTTCAAGCAGGATGACAAATTCTTTTTGCCAAAAGCTTGTCTCAACTTTGAGTTTTTCAGGTATGCAGTATATTAAGTGTATAACTCCCAAAAGTTTCTTATTTTTTACAGGAAATCTGCATTTAAATTGCAAAAACTTTAATGCATGCCTTAGCGCTTCAAAATGATGTAGGGTCCTGGTTTATTCTGCTTTGGTAATATTAGACAGTAAAACACACCAGGAAATCTCATATATTATACAGTAGTTGAAACAAGAAGCAGTGGGGTATTCAGATAAATATTTATGAGAAACTGGTAATAACATTACATACTTAATCCAGTCTCAAAACAATACATCTTAATCCCTGAAACACATCTTACAACAGCTCCTACTTTATTATTCAATTTGCCATTTTAAAGGTATTGTAATTTATTTATAATTTAAAAAACAAATTCAGTATTTGATTGTAATATTTTCATATTGAATATTATGCTTCTTTGGTTTTATACACTTTTTCTATAATCACAACTCGGAAAGGTTCTGTTCAGTTTCTGTAATGCATACACAGCTAATATTTAAACATTATTGAAAGTTTTATTTTATGATTATCAAGTCACTTTTTGATTTTGAAGGAAACGTCTTTGGTATCAACAGATATGGTGATCCCAAATGAAGATACATGAATCACATTGGTAGTATATACAGTAAAATTAAATCAAGTCCTTATTATTTTCTTCATGTGGAGTTGTACCATTTAAATAAATTGACAGAGGGAGGAAAGGTCAAAGCAAGAGATTTACTTTCCACTGGAATTCTCTCAAGATAGTTCTGGGAATGTGGCAGCCCATGGATCTTTCTTTTGGAGCAGGCATTTTCAGCTCTTAGTTTTGAAACAGTGTTGACTGTTGAAAGTCATGTGACTATGATTCCCACGCTGGCGCTAAGGAGCATCTAAATTATTTCAGAATCTTTCCTTGTTTTTCTTCATGGATCACTATAACGATTTTTAAAAGATTAGAGTATGAGATGTTATGGTCACTCATGGCTGAGTTGTTGAATGTTTATCTTGAATAGCCATTAGGAGTGTGGTACAGGTGCTGTTGACAGTTCTTTAAGAGTTTCTTCACTATCCTAGTAAACATCCCACATAAAAAATTGCCATGCATGTAATATAATAAAAATCAGTAGATAGTCATATAGATCAATTCTAAGAAATAGTCTGTTACACTCACAACACTGAAAGACAAAAACAGGACTGTGTAGCACTTTAAAGACTGACAAGATGGTTTAATAGGTGATGAGCTTTCGTGGGCCAGACCCACTTCCTCAGATCAAATAGTGGAAGAAAATTGTCACAACCATATATACCAAAGGATACAATTAAAAAAAATGAACACATATGAAAAGGACAAATCAAATTTCAGACCAGAAGAGGGATGGAGGGAGGGGAAGGGGGGGAGGTAAATGTCTGTGAGCTAATGATATTAGAGGTGATAATTGGGGAAGCTAATGGGTAAGATAATTAGCGTCTTTATTCAATTTTGAGTGTAAACTGTCGAATTTAAGCATGAATGACAGTTCAGAGGATTCTCTTTGAAGTGAAGTCTTAAAAGGTCTTTGAAGCAGGATGCAGGTAATCAAGTCATTGAGACAATGTCCTTTCTGGTTGAAATGGCAAGAAACTGTTTTTTCTTTGTGATCCTGTCTGATATCTGTTTTTGGGCATTGATCCTTTGGCGAAGTGTCTGAGATGTTTGTCCAGTGTACATAGGGGACGGACACTTTCGGCACATGTGCAATCATATTGTATAAGGGTATAGGAGCAAAGGTGGAAAAAAACTATAGTATTTGCCTGTAACTCATACCTTCTGATACTTTGAATGTCAGCCTAGACAGATTAGACGATTGGGCCAAAAGAAATCTGATGAGGTTCAACAAGAACAATTGTAGAGTCCTGCACTTGGGACAGAAGAATCCAAGCATTGTTAAAGGCTGGGGACCGAATGGCTAAGTAGCAGTACTGCAGAAAAGGACCTGGGGATTACAGTGGATGAGAAGCTGGATATGAGTCAACAGTGTGCCCTTGTAGCCAAGAAGGCTAATGGCATATTAGGTTGCATTAGGACGAGCATTGCCAGCAGATCTAGAGAAGTGATTATTCCATTTTATTTGGCTCTTGTGAGGCCACATCTGGAGTATCGTGTCCAGTTCTGGGCCCCCCACTACAAAAAGGATGTAGACACGTTGGAGAGGGTCCAGCGGAGGGCAACCAAAATGATTAGGAGGCTGGAGCGCATGTCCTAAAGGAGAGACTTAGGGATTTGGGTTTGTTTAGTCTGCAGAAGAGAAGAGTGAGGGAGGCTTTGATAGCAGCTTTCAACTTCCTGAAGGGAGGTTCCAAAGAGGATGGGGAGAAGCTGTTCATGGTAGTGACGGATGGCAGAACAAGGAGCAATGGTCTCAAGTTACAGTGGGAGAGGTCTAGGTTGGATATTAGGAAAAACTATTTCACTAGAAGGGTGGTGAAGCACTGGAATGGGTTACCTAGGGAGGTGGTGGAATCTCCAAGCCTAGAGGTTTTTATGTCCCAGCTTGACAAAGCCCTGGCTGGATTGATTTAGTTGGGATTGGTCCTGCTTTGGGCAGGGGGCTGGACTTGATGACCTCCTGACATCTCTTCCAGCTCTATGATTCTGTGATTCAACAGTTACTAAACCACCCTGTCTGAGGAAATTTATTTCCTTTTCTAAATATTTATGTACAATAAATGACCAGTCTGGTATGCATCATAATACAAAGTTCTGAAAGTACAAAACAGAGCAATCTAATTAGTATCTATCTCTAAGGAAATGATGGAATCTGTTGACCTTACCTATCTTATAAAAACAAGAATTTAAAGGTAAGTGACTTTCCTCATCACTTCCTCCAACTCAAGAGTCCCACTGCAATATGCATGTCCAAAATCTGGGCACTTCGGGATGCACAGAGATAAGTTTTATGTTCTGCAGATTCATGAGAGGCTGTGAAATAGCTTCTAAATGAACTGTTAGAGATGCCGTCTGCAACCAAGTGCATGACAAATGAAAAAAAGTAATAGAGTTTTAACGTAGAGCAAGCAAAGGAGTTCACTTGGATATATTCAGAACAAATTGTGTTCATGGATTCCCGTAGTATGTTCTTTCTGAACAGCTAGAAGGAGTTGAAATATCCTACTTAAAATGCCAGAATGATCCACCTTGATTAGAGGCAAGGATCCAGAGATGAGATGAAGAAGGTGTCCTGATTTTTATAGTCAATTGTGAGGAGCCATGTGATTTGGTGAGATTGAGCACCATCATCTTCCACACAAGTGGAAATGAGATTTGGCTGTGTTTAATATTTGACCATGAGGTTACAATGTCTCTCTTGAGCCTGGTGAGGATTGCTGTCACCAGAAGAAATGTAGGACATAATTTATCTTCATGGGAAGGTGAAGGCATTCATGGATTTTTCTCAATTTTGTTCTTCCTCTTGAATACTGAAATTTTTGTGATCGGAGGAGTGGTGAAGTGGCTTATCTCAGAAGTCTGCCTTTTTTGCAAAAAATTTGAGCTATTCTGACGTGTTCCAAAATGTCTTTGAATCAGTGCAGTTCAGTCAAAGACTGAAAAATACAGTGTCCTTGTTAAATCAGATCCCATTATAACCCCACTATACTTGGTCAGTCTGACTGGCAAGGAAACCAGAAGGGCCTATATTTTAGGTTTCCCAAGGTTTTGACAGATGGATATTCAAATTTGACACTGATTTTTTTTTTTAATGGGTATAGTCTACATTCCTATTTTGGAATTTTGTTTATTTGGAAATGTATATTGGCACACATCATTGAGTACTTTACATTTATGAAAATAATAAATTATAAAATAGCCAAATGCTAGCATTTTAGCTTCATGGCCAGTGAAGCAACTGTCTGCTCCATTTTTTTGAAGGAAACTAGGCTGTGACTTTGAAAGAAGCTTAAGAGAGCTAGGTGATTAGCTCCTGTTGACTTTCATCAGAAGTTGTATGATTCTCTTAGGTTTCTTTCAAAATCCCAATGCTGATCCCCAGTTCTCTTACTAAATTCTGCCCAAAAACTTTTAAGTTTATAAGATAAGTCTTATACTTGTGGCCTAAAGCTTGGTTAAGTTTGGCACTGGCAAACTACAGGAGGGAGCAGGTTCCAAAGCGTGGCTCCATCACTGAGAATTCTCTGCCATGTGTGGAAAAGCAGAAGCAGGAAGGGGAGTGAGTTCTCTTTGATTTCACACAGTTTACACTGTGTAGATCATTGCCAACACGTTTCAATTCATGTATGAAGTACTGGTTTAGAGGACTTTGCTTCATTGTATTGTGTGCTAGCTGAAGTTTCTAGGTATTTTGTAAGCATAGGCTTCAATTTGTTTTTACAACCATCCACTCTGGATGTTATAAAGATGTGAATTGTTGTGGCTAAGTCAGCATCACAAAGGAACTGCTACCGTTTCGCAGGCTAACTACATCGAAATAGACACCATGTTCAAAAGTTGCCACTTGAGGGGCGATAGTGGCTTCAGTAGGAACCCCTAGGTTGTGAAATGTACTGGCAAAGACTAGACATAGACTCCAAAGGAAGGTGTGTACCCCATTTTTGCCATTTCCCAAAGCCACTTAAACCACTTCCCCTGACCCATTTACTTCTCAAGTACTAGAAAAGAAACAGACTTGGTTTGACCCAAAAAAAAAAAAAAAAAAAGGGCCAAAAAAAAAAAAGGCCAGACAGGACCCTGACCCATTTACTTCTCAAGTACTAGAAAAGAAACAGACTTGGTTTGACCCAAAAAAAAAAAAAAAAAAGGTCTCATAGAATAATAGGACTGGAAGGGACCTCGAGAGGTCGAGTCCAGCCCCCCGCCCTCAAGGCAGGACCAAGCTCCGTCTACACCATCCCTGACAGATGTCTATCTAACCTGTTCTTAAATATCTTCAGAGAGGAAGATTCCACCACCACCCTTGGCAATTTATTCCAATATTTGACCACCCTGACAGTTAGGAATTTTTTCCTAATGTCCAATCTAAACCT